TTCTAAGCGCAAATCTCGATCGAATATCAAAAATCGGGCTCTATTAGCCCTATGGGCCAGCTACAATTTAGGACCTTGCCGAGCTCTCTCCGACGTTTTGTTACTGAGTAATCTTGCAGCTACGAAATGGTGTTATGGTGAAGGTCGCTTTCGAGATACGGTAGTATCAGTATCTGATGCATGTTTTATGGCTTCCAGCAAAACGCTCATAACTCTTAATTAGAACATTATTCAAAGCTGATAAATATTTCATTTTGATTAGAAATGTTTGCTGTATTTTGATGGTGTTATTAAAAGTATTTTTAGATTTGTTTTCTTATCGGACACTAAAATGTTTTCGAAAAGTCAGCTGTTCCTGGTTTTCAGAAAACTTTTCTAAAAACTTGCATACCACTTTGATGAGGGCCAAATAATATTGGATCCTTAATAGGTAAAAGCGTTGGTGTCGATAAAAGAATGCGCATAGACTGTCATGAATGCGTTATGCTTGTCTACTTTATAACTATTTTAAACAACTAGTACATCGTCACTTGGTACATATAACGGTATTTTGCTCAAAATCCTATCACTCCAGCGATACAAAACTATTCGCTTAGCAACTTTTTTTAAAACGGTGCTACTGCAATTTTTTTTCTCGTCGCACGAATATTACCACAGTCTCTGTAGGTAAATATGAATCTATTACAAATACTAACAAACTGGAACAGAACATCGAAAATAACATTCCGTCATAATTCATGTATTTTCTTACTAATGTACAACTTACACGCATCAAGGTGCCAGTTAGACATACAAAGTTGATCGGACAGCAGATGGCGAATTTTCTCTTTCGGATAGTTGAAAAATTAGCAAGTTTTTCAATGGGGAGACGTTAACAATGGATCACATAATCCGGCTGTTCCTACTTTTCGGAACGCTAAAAAAGTTCGTAAACGCGTTCTTGTTCAATACTGAGTATCTCGTGTTATTCATTAGTACGTTTATCGAAAGGACACAGAGCATGTTTTTCCTCGAAAAATTCGAAACGCAAAACATTTGTATATTATGTTATAATAAAAAGCAGATCGATTACATAAATTTCAAGGTAATCATACACTCAAATTAAATATTAAAAAGTTGTTTTCGCATATCATTTTACATCAACAGAGAATATAAAATAACTAGAAAATACATAAATTCAATCACACTGTAGTTTTTCAATTAATCGAAGTTCATAAAACAAGTACCGTAAGTAACAGATTTCAATGGACCATCGGTTTCATTGACTTTAACTACTCTACTTAAGCCCTCAGGCAACGTATCATAAAACATAGCCAGATATTTAACTATCGTCGCCAATCGTGTGGGTAAATCTACAATGTTGCACAAATTGATAAATGTTGGTCTATTTGTATTGTCGATGGTCGTTCAAGATATAAATGCTGGTAAGCTTCCGATCAATCTTTTATTACTATACATCTTTATTCAAACATTCGATGCAAATTGAGCACGATTACTACATTATAATAACACCGTGCGTTAAAGAGAGAGCATTGTCGTCTTGTCTGAGAAGATAATCCTTCAGTTACAATGACTTCCACGACGTGAGCTTTCACGGGTCACCAAACAGGATACGAAATACTGGATTAACCATTAAACTCGAGGTAAAAGATACTGTCTATGGCTTATAATGCATATAATCAATATTCTGTGAATTAGGAGAAAGAGCAGTTAATGATTTAAATAATGAGGTAATGAGGTACAGAACTGCTATAAACATGATTAACTAATCATAATGTATTTATTTCATTGATATTTCGACAGAATCCACTGTCATAAATACATTCGGACAGTGGATTCTGTCGAAATATCAATGAAATAAATACATTATGATTAGTTAATCATGTTTATAGCAGTTCTGTACTTCATTACCTCATTATTCTGTGAATTGTTTAGAAATATGCGCAATGGAAGCCCGATGAGTTTCATGTCTTTAATCCCAGAAAATCCCGATGAGCTTGCTGATTTCTTTTATAATCATGATCTTTGGATCTTGCAGTTATAAGCACATCATTTTCCTCTCCTACTAAGGGAGATAGATCTATTTCTTTCTCATGTGTACAGATCAATCAACATATCCAGACCATTGTTCAAACATAAACCACTGTGGCAGTTACCCTGGGTACGTATAATACATATACATATATATACATAAGTGCGAATTAGAAGACTACTTTAGCTGAAGTCTTATTAGCTTAAGTCTTCAATTACCTATCCATTCACAATTATCACCCCATCGCCCAAGAACACATTGACATACAGACTCATATCCACTACCAAGTATAATATTACAATATGAACCAGTACAAATTATATTGTTACAGAGAGCGGATGCTAGACATAATACAGGAAGTAATACTTTTCACATATGAAAATATCTTTTTCTTACGATTGTTTGTTTCACATAGTGTACCAGCGAAGCCGCTAGGACACACGCAATTTCCACCTATATCCACGCCACCGTTCTGGCATTTATTGGATGGTGCTGTTGTTATTGTCGATCCTCCTGGTAAGGTTGCTGTCGATCCTCCTGGTGAGGTTACTGTTGACGCACCTAAAAACAACTAGTAGAGCTCTTTACGATGTCATAGTGGTCAACGAAGTAGTACTTGGGACGCAAGGCCGCCCAGGATTAGTAGTTGCGGGATCTGTTGGAGATGAACGACAAGAACAGGCAAACTTGTTGCTTGGACCATCGCCAAAATCGCCCTCGTTACATCTATGTAACGCTGGATTAGGACCACATATATTTGTTACATTATTGCATATTCCTAAATCATAACACAACAATGAAAAAACATTAGTTTTGTTTACCATGATTTTCTTACTGCACGTAGCATTTAGTTCTC